TTATTATTAAATGTATTTCATTACGCTTTAAGAATTAATTTCGATGCATCGTACGTGTAACGAGCTGGTGTAAAATAATAATGCTGTGTCAATAGCTCGCGGTACGTAAAGTTTCGAGCACGTAATCCATTCAAGGATTAAATAATTACTTATTAAATATATTTTATTGCAATTAGAATTTGATTTCCGATACGCGCAATTAATATTTCGCATGTTTTATTTAAACGACGTACATATTCATATATTACGCATCAGCATATGCACGATAAAATGCGTAAAATAATACTAAATCAAAATGTGCAGTCGTATACCATAAATTACAATAAATCAAAGTGTGCCGGACAAGAACTCTGCATGTACCGCGGATTCTGCACGTTTTTGTGCATTTCAATGCATTCCACATATTTCAATGTATCTGACACAATAAATGCGTGTAATATATTTTTCTACGATGTCGTTTAAATGAAATATGCAAAGTATTAGTTACACGTATTGAAATTCCCTCTGAATAAGCAATGAAACGTATTTAATAAATACCGGTCCAATCCCCGGATCGATAACCTATTTTAAACTTTAATCCTTCGCGGACGGCGTCTGGATTCACGAAACAATGCACTTTCGCTTCGACTCAACCAATGTAACTGCACAACTATTTTTTTATCTTTTACTCTTCATAGAAATTTTTCAAACGCCTTCGTTACGTTTCTCTGATTAAGTCAAGACCAAACACGACCGTAATTTCTATTATATTTACATAGTTATTCAACAAGTATATAATTAATTTATAAATAATTATGTTATATGGTATATCACTAGTACGATATCAAATGTAATTAATTTTATTCATGACTCGTTACTCGTTAAATAAGCGAATATGTTTCAAGTCGTGCCGGGTTTGCTTCAATTTTAATCAGAAAGGCTTCACTGGTACGGTACTATAATTTTGATCAACTAACTTTTATATTGGTTTGGCAACTATGTAATTGCGGATTTCACTGATACGTGACTTTGTTGAATCGTTACGTATTTGTATGTATTCGAAACATCAAACCCATATTGTTCACTGATAGTTAGTACTTTAATTGTTCAGAAAAAACATTGTATCGATCGATCGTGGTTGAACAATGGAAATTCAAAACGAGCATTTTCCTCGTATTTTGTTGTATTACTTCCGGGAAAGGAAAAAACGTATCGCAAGCTTGCAAAAAGTTATTTGCTGCGTATGGCGACGAAGCCTTAAAATCGACTTCGACAGCAGAAAGACACTCTGCATCGAACTCTGGTCGAGAGTAGAGTCACTTGTGATTCTCACGTTTACGTTTTTATGTTCTTTTATGTTAAATAGTTATAGTTTATATAGTTACGTTTAAAGACCACACGCTTGTGACCATTCCTGACATCCTTACAATACATTGCTAGACAAAGATAACAATATTGTCTTCCATTTTATTAAAAAAATCCGCAATTACTCGATTGCCAAAATCAATGATTTTGTTTTCTAATTGTTGAGGTTCGATTGGGGTGGTAGACGACGCCGAAACCTGGCTCGAGCCACCGATACCCAGGGGTTGGTGGGGATGGATCGTGGGTCGTATAAGCGTACTAATTTCGTTGTCATATATCCGGGCACCACTGTGTAGGTGGTTCGATAGGTCTTACCTCGATGATGGAATAGTCGAGGTGGAGGAGGAAGGCTCTTTGTCCTTGATGGTGCGATTCCCGTACTTATTCTTCAGGTACCTCGCCCACGAGCTCAAAGCAGCGCCGTCCTTCTCTGTTCCTGATCTGTCACGTTCAGGGCTCGGCTCCCTGGACTTGAGGGCGTGAGTACTTCGACTCCTGGCCAGTTCAGAGCCGGCTCCGTACTTGGCCGCCAGATAAGCGTTCGGCGACTGGGTCGTCGGGGAGGGTGGTTCCTCGTCGAGGTCGAGGTCGTCACCGCCGAAGTTGTGGGAGCTTCTGGACCGCGCCAGCCGCTGTCTTCTGTCCTTCAACGTTGCGTACCGCGACCTCGCCGACAGTGGCGACTCGACCTCTGTATCCGCGTCTCGTTCGCGTTCGCGTTCTCGTTCTCTTTCTCGTTCGCGTTCCCGTTCCCGTTCCCGTTCCCGTTCTCGTTCCCGTTCCCGTTCCCGCTCCCGTTCCCTCTCCCGTTCCCTTTCTCGTTCCCTTTCTCGTTCTCGTTCGCGTTCCCTTTCTCGTTCCCTGCTTGCTATCATCGCTGCCTGGCTTCTGCTCTTGTTGAGAAACCTGCAACATGGCGGAACGAAGATTTGGCTCGTTCAGACGTTTTTGTTAATAAAGAAGCCTGCGTGTTACTTAGCGACAGAGTTGGGCCAAACTTTATCCGCGGACAACGAACGATATTAATTCGCGAACGAAGCTAAGTGAAAGATAGAATGGAGTTTGCCGAACTCTGCTTGGCAATTACTGGGGTAAGGATACTCGCGGGCCATCGAGGGGGGTGAGCGATCGACGATCGTTCGGGGAATCGATTGTTCACAAAATGTAGACGATGTTTCGTGTCGGTAACATGCGATTTCTGCCTCGCCGAGTCGGACACGCGGGAACATCGAAACTCTCGGTTACTCGTGTTATCTTTCACGGAGAACAACTTGGATCCATTTTGGAGCTGTTAACTTGGAACTACGGTTACTGTCCGTTAACATTCGAGCATCTTCGTACAAAGTGATTCTAGAAATAAAAATTTACACTGGAAGACGTCTATCTCTCGACGAAGTTTCTTTTTTTTCAAATAATTACGTCACGACCGTAATCGTTCACGAAATCTGTCATATTTTATACGTTTTAAAGTGCAATTAGTTCCGCTTGGAAGCGAATTATGTTTCGTTCCAGCTTTGAGAATCATCTTGTACGCTAACGACTTATCAAGCAACATTGGTTCTTTCGTATTCTACTTATTTATGGAACTATACACCGCGACGTCAGAATTATCAACAGGGATACATAAGATTTAGTAACACGGGAGTGAAATAGTTCGGTTGGACGATCTACGTTGTGCTCTGCAATCTCGATGGGAAAATTTTGTCTTGCATCTCGATCTTCCAATTACCGATCGTTTCATTAATTAACGATACGCGTACGTCTCGCGATTCTTCGTTATTATATTGATTTCATGGCATTTATACGTCAGTTCTTTGTCGCTGGCCCCAAAAGTTGCGTAAGAATCGAGGTAAACGGAGAAATTGGGCTCTCGTTACTTTTAATTTCTAGATATTTTTTCGCTTTCGCCATTTTTTCCTTTCTTAATGTCTAGTATATATGCTCAAAATAGGTTATTTCGAGGACACGTTTACTTTTGGCGATAGACAAAGGTAGGCAAAGTGGTTCGAAGCTACGAAGATCCTTTCTTACAGGGAAATACTAACTTTTCGTGTCAGAATTCGATATTGTATTGAAATCTGAGAATAAAGTTATTAATATATAATTTCCAAGTTATTAGAATTATCATGAAACAAAGACATTTAAACAGTAATACTTGAGTAGTTAAATATTTTCCAACAGATATTATATTTAAAATGCATTATCGAATTCTTCCATAAAAAAGCCTGAGAGTTTCCTTAAAAAATTTAAGCCCAATCAGACGAAAGTTGACGTGAAATTATATACATACACCAGAGAACCGAGTAATATATTGTTTCATTTTGTTCTCCATTCCAAAGTAAATGAGGTACTCGATAGTCGTGAATGTTTGAAGCAGCCTGTGTCGTTCCAGTTTCCCGCGTAAAAATTTCGAAAGTAAAATTTTGATCGCGACGAAACGTCCAAAGCTCGCGTTCGACGTACATATATTCGGTGTATTCGCGCGGAAGAAATCGACGTCCGTTTAAATCATTTCCGTTTCATCGGGGCAGTGGCTTTCCGTTGAAAGCTCCTCGTCGTTTACTTTGAAGTTTCGAAACGACCGTCGAGGCAGCGCGTTTAATTGATCTTCAGCGCTAGAACGTATTGGAATAACATCCGCGTTTCCAGTCAGGCAGCCTACAGACCGATATAGCCCGGCTGACTGTCCGCACTGCAGCAGATATTTTAAGTAACAAACGGGTTATATTTAAACCTTTTACTGCACGCCTCGTGGCTTCCCGTATGATGCACAATGCGGCCGCGTTAGTTCCGTCTGTAATATTTTTCCGTGTAATTCGCGCGTAGACGACTGTAAAACTCGATCGGCGTCGCGTTCGATCGAGGATGAACGCGTTAATGTTGAGAAATTAAATGAATAATTTGAATCGAAGCGCCACGGCGAGGCAAGGTGAGTCTGCAGCCCAGTTTTAAAAAAAAGTTTCGTTTTCCAGTCGATTTTCTTCGAGGTTTGAGAATCGTTCCCACGACCTGTGATATCTGGATCGATTTTTACCTTCTCCTTGGAATGCACTCTTTCGCAGAGTGTTCTGTAAGTTCGTGCATCTTGAGGCGGTGCAACAGAGGTTCAGGGGTAGCGAGGGGTCTTAAATTTAAAAGAAAGCTGAACGCCTTCGTGGAACACCAACGAACAACGAAAGGGTTCGACGTGATCGATGCTGACGAACGTTCAATCTGTCAGTGCAATAAATAAAGATGCATTTTTTGTTTTGCTTTTTTTATCTTTACGTGTGCGTACTCCAACACGGTCAACGATTAATCGGGATCAACGTACAAACAACACGAGAGAACGACAAAGAGATCACGAACAACAATTGGGAATGAAAAAAAAAGAATATACGAAAAAAGTATTTTTTTTCCACTGTGAGACACTTGTGAGAGACGAATTGACGAATACGAGAGAGAGAGAATTACAGGCGGGGCACGGTATTACTCTATTTTTTCGGTTCACTATTTTCTTCTCTGTTTTTCGTTATTGCTCGTGTAAACTGAGGACAAGTTGAGAGGGAAATAAATAATACGAGTTATCACAAAGAAATGCAGTTTATTTACCACACCAACAAACTGACGCAAGCCTATTCACTAGGAAAAAGAGTACAAAAACTTAATGATATGAAACGTGGCGTAGGCGGGGAACCATATGTCACGGGATTTTCAGCGCATCGACTGGCGAACGTCTCTTTCCGATAATTTTGGTCACGAAACACGGTAACCTTTTCGAATCTGAATTTTTTTTTCTTTTTTTCATAAAACTGTAAACGTACGTTATAAAATACATCGAATGATTTGGCTCTGTATAAAATGCTATCGACTACAAAATATCGTTACACGTATCACCGTCAGAATCGAAGGGGTCAAAGTATTTCGTATTTAAAAATTTTAGACTTGGACGAATCATCATCATTATTATTATTATTATTCGAAACGAGAAACGGAGGTCAGTCGATGCGTGGTTCGAGTTGCGTTCCGCGAAGGCGTTCATGCGCCATTTTTCGAATCGCCTCGCGATCGACGTGAACCGTGCCACGTGACACGCGGTTCGCGCCAACGATCCAATGGGAACGAATTGAAAAAAGCTTCGTTTCAGCGTGGATTTAAGCTGCTCTTGGGAGGACGGTCGTTTCTCACTACGTTTACTGAGCGTTAGCCGACATAACTTCTCTCATAACTACGAAGCTACTTGTTTTGAGCAATGCGGGGGACACGTATTCGCGGGAATCAACGTAGGAACAACAAAGATTTTTACGATCGTAACGTACGATTATCACAATTAATAAAATGCAAGTTCCACCATACAATATTACTACGCGGATTAGCATTGTTTTACCGGCGTTACTCGCCGATTTTTATTATCACCGCGCGGCACGCGGCGATTTACCGTGGACTAGAAGACGCGCCAGGGGAACGAAAGACACCGTGGCAGCAGTTTCGCCAGACAGAAATCAAATGAACCGTTCGCGAAGCAAATAACAGGGACGAGGCGTAAAGTATCTCGAAAAACTGAATATCTCGACAGTTTGCATTCTGTTTCTAGCCGATCGACGCGTTTGCTACCACCGTTCGCACAAAATTTTATCGCTCGTAGTAATATTTTCGACAATACAATATATATCACAGATAAATTAAAAACGAAATACAAGACACGATAAACAGGGGCAGAGGGGGGCAGACTGTAAAGGGGGGATGAAAAATAACGAGGGTAAAAATAAAAGAGGGAAACTGCTGCGTCGGATCTCGCTATCGGAGCCAGTCTCGTCTGTTTTCGTGGGTGTGGTTCGCAGTCTTTCACGGCCAACAACACGAACGAGAAAATAAAAAAAAAATGGTGTGGTGGACGACGAACGAACGCGAACGTTTGAACGTGAACGAGGGGCGGGATGGCACGTATATTCGGGTTACAGGAACAGATTGATTAGAACGCTGTAACACAGTACGGACACACAGAAAACGGTGGTTACCATTTGCATCGGTATAGTGATATTGACACCAGGCGTGTCCTCGTGCTCGTTGGAACTGTCGGTCTCTTTGGATTGGGTAGCGTTCGCGACTAGTGCACCGTTCTCAATGTTAGTTCTCGTTACGAGGTCGGTCGTTTGGGAACGAATCGTGCTCGTCTCGTCCGTGCTTTGGCCCTCGACGTCTTTCGCCACAGGCGTGTCGTCGACCTTGTTCAGTATCACCCACCCGTTCTCGTCGATGTTCCATGCGCTATCGGTCGCCATCGGACCTTTATCGTCTTTGTTTCTCGCGGTCTGCTCGCCATTTTGGTTCTTGGAGGCGTCTACGACCCCTGGACCATCGGGGGACGACGCGGCTCGGTCCGTTTCGCTGTCGGACTCGTCCGACACCAGCCATCCGTTTTTACCTATGCTGCTCTGCCGGTACACCCGATTCCTCGGCAGACTCTCGCTCGAGCCCGACTGGCTCAGCGTATTGTTGCCCTCGCGGTTGTTCTGTTTCTGCTCGCTGTTTTCGTCGCTCTTGGAGATCTTTCGCGAGCCCTCCGGCTGCAGATCCTGATCGGTGACCACCCATCCGTTGTCGTCGAACAGCTCCTCGATGCTCTTCTCGCCGATTATCGAGGAACTCCGTCGTTTCGCTGTCTCGTCGTGCTGCTCCGAGTTGCCGTAACGATCCTCCGATCGCGGAGCGCTCAGAACGGTGATCTCGTCATCTGTGTCCGACTCGGTGGACCCGTCGTCGGTTTTCGAATCTGCGGAACCGTTCTCGGTTTTCGACGTACGGTCGTTGTCCTCGGCATTCTCAGTCTTCTTGTTTCTCAGGTTACTGTTCTCGTCCCTGGACCGTTCCTCTTCCTCGTCTGTCTCCGAGTCGGTCTCGGACTCGGTCTCCGAATCGGACTCGCCGCTGACGGAATCGCCTTTGTCCACGGTGGATTTCTCGCGCGAGTTTTCCAAAGATACGCCGTTCACCGATATCCGTCGATCGTTTAATGCGGATAACGAAGAGCTCGCGTCGTTCACCGAACGACCTTCCACTAACGCGTGGACCTTGCGGGCCTCGTTGCGGTTCTCTAGTCGACTATCGTAACCGCTACCTTCGAGACACTTGGATCTAGTCGCGTAGGAGGAGGAGGATGAGGTGATCGTTTCGTCGGTGTCCGTACTATCGTCCGTGTGGGTCCGTTTGTTCGACTGCGGTTTAACCATCGATCCGTCCGCACCGTCAATATCGTAATCCGCGTTCTTAGCCGCGATATCGTAATCCTCGCGACGATCGGTTGACGGTTCATCGTGTTCGTCACTAAACGTCCTAAAACGATTACGGTCGTGGGGGTTACTGGAATTAGAACTGGCCTGATGATGAGTCTGACCGTGTGCTACGTGTGCTACGAACCTGCTGGTGTAGCCGGCCGGCGTTGTCGTCGACGTCACGGCGCCCGTTGCGGTCGACGTCACCGCGCCTGTTGCAGTCGTCGTCGGTGACGTAGTCGTCGTGCTCGACGTCGTTAGCGCGGGACTCCCTCTCGGCGTCGAATACCTGAGACACCAGTGATACCGCTCGATATTTCAGTTCGATCTACCTTCCTTCGTTTTAAAATTACTCGGGCACAGTGGGCGAGAATTTGGTAATTATTTGCTCTATCGACCTCCCCAAACGCGGAACTAATTTTGTTTCGCGGTCTTTAAAACGCTTTGAACGAGATACGTCGAGCAGAGAATGTAATTTTTGTTTAAAATTGCATTGTTATCGTCGTTAAAGACTTATTCTTATTTATACTGCAATATGTGTTGATTTTCTATGCGCTTAATATAATTTATGCTCCTTTAATATTATTAGTATTTAATTGTTATATCGTATTTCGCTATGAACGCCATTGCGTTAATTCCTAATAAAACCTGAGGTAGAATTCAAATTTCCCTCCACGAATACCCATGAGGACCTGCTTCCTACTTAGTTCGGACGCAGGTCGCTTGCGGTGCTGCCACGGGACTAAAACATGGCGTCTACAAGAATATGCGCGCTTATATCAAATAGTAGAAGGAACGACGTTATCGATGAACAAGGTGGGAGCCTCGACATGTAAAAATTATCATGTAGTAAGCTAACACTACGGAGGACACGTAGTTAAAATTGATAATAATTTAATAAGCCGAGGAAGTGAAAAACAAGACTCACTAGCACTACTTGCACTACCATAATTTATCAACTAGTATAAACGTAGGGATAGGAAATAAGTTACCAATAGTTTTTATAATAGAGATGAGGTTACTAATAGAACCAAACGCATTAATAGAAAATACTACTTTGTAAATATGATAATATCTGAAGAAATGGAAGCTAATAATAAAAGTAGTGTTCTGGGAAACTGTGGTTAGAAGAATAAACGAATATTATCTATTCATCAAAATAATAGCCACAACTAAAATAGCTTGAGCCAATTAAAAAATTTCTTAAAAAATGAAGTATCTTTGAATGGACGACATTCAAAAGTTTTCCAAGCTTTCTGCATAGCTACCCCACGAAAGATTTCATGATTAACGTATTAACGTATAAACATTGGTCTAAGTAAAAGAAAGATGGACTGAATTTCGTTTCGAAAGCAGTCGATGATCTTCGTTGTTCTAGAAATGAATTCTGGCCCACTGTGCGCGGGCGCGAGTCGCTTTTCTCGTGCTATTTTTTTAAACTTCCACGTCACGTATAGCCCCCGGAATTTTGGAGCTTCCGACCATCGTCGGGGACCGTTCGTTCGCGACGTTTCAAACATGGCGTCGCGCTACCGATTGCAGCTAATGATTCGAAATTGCGGGCAATTCGCGTACAGGCGTCGTTCCCGCCGCAATGGAACGTGGTTTTCCCGTTCGTTGGCATTATTGATTCTCATTTCCCCCGAGTTGTTGCATCGCGCTCGTTACACAGCCCCTAACGATTCCTTTTTACTCTCTAAAATTAAATTTATATAACGAATCACGAATCACGAAATATCGATCTGACGATCACCTTTAATTGACCAATGTCATTTTAAAATTATTGAAATATTTCTCGGGGGGAAATGAATAATAAATAAAGTTTATTTTGTTTGTAACCAATATCGTGCTCTATTATTCCGTGCAGCCACGTAGACTAAAGACTTAGGATGACTAGTTATCAATCGAGGGTTAAGAAAATTAGCAAAAATTCGATCTGTCGTTCGCGTGAACCAGATTATCGACTGGTTTATTACTCGAAGGAAACTATACTTGCCTGGTCGAGGGCGAGTCCTCGCTGCCGCGCCTTGTCTTCGCGATTTGGTTAGCCTTCCTCGTCAACTCTTCTATGTCCAAGACGAGATACGGGGCGTTCGCGGGGCGCGTAGTTTCCACGTCCGATTCCTCGGTCTCGGATTCCGACTCGGAGTTGGAGCTGCTCGTTTCCTCGTCCTCGTCGTCCTCCTGCTCCACTTGTTCCTTTGTCTCTTCCCGCGCCGCTGGTGCTTGCGTGGGTGGCGCAGGAGCCGCACGGTTACCTAGAGAAATACGATGGAACTCGGTACACGGCTAAATAAATATATCCGCTTGGGTCTTACGAGCTCTTTCGCAATTTTTTATCCCGGCGAAATTACGAGGAATTGTCCTTCGACGCGAGATAGGATCGATGGAACACCGGAGATATTAGAATTTCGTTCATCGAACGCTTTGCACGCCTTTGCAATAGGTGGAATCTTCATGATTTTATTTTTCAAATCGAGCACTCTGTCGAAATTAGCTACAAAGGTATTTCGATAGTTTCAATAACGATTCTTCAGGTTTAATAATTCATATAACTGATAATGCTCGATGTGAAACCAGGAACAACTGCTCGATGAAGCGATATTTTATGAATAACGTCAAAACTATTTATTTGGGCCCTTCTGCTTGAAAATTTCTAAGGAAACGATTTCCACCATTTCAAAAAGTATAGAATCGTTCCTCCTTCCAGCATGGGAAACTCATCGTTGATTTGGCGGCGACAAACTCGAAGAAACCAACGAGTTAGAGTTCTTTTTAAGGATCCTCTTTGTCCTCGATGGTCGATTTGGCGACAGCTAAGTTGCGTGTGGTCCTTTCATTTATCCACCGTGGCGCCAACCATTGTCATTGATACGACAGTATTACGTTTTATCAGACGGCACGATTAAGGGTGTGTTATGCAAATATGACAAATTGACACAATATTGCAGTGACTAGGAAACAAATTAAGGGAGTAAACGTTGAATGTTTACAATGCAATAAAGCATATTATCTCACTTGATTTAATTCTAAATACAAATCATACAGGTGAAATATTGTATCCCCATGAGATGTGATCTAGAGTAATCTACCCCCATGATTTGTGCTTTTCTTCCTTGTAACATCGTTAACTTTAATATAATACATCAGCTACCATAATGGAAATTAAAATTCGGAAAGAAAAATTAATTTTATGTGTATTTAATTATTTCAGTTTAGTACTGCGTCAATATTATATGCTAATATCGTAAGTTTAAGTTAATATTCTAGCGTAATACAAATATTAATTATTTCTTTTTTCTACGAAATACTCTAACACGCCCGTCACGTTCAAATAGCTGCTTCGATATAAATAGGTATCCGCGTATCACATGTGGCACATTAATATATGGCCTGGGAGGCAACCGTATGTCATACATAAAAAACTTTTTTTAATCAATAAATTGTATATGTATGACGCACGGAAAGGAAAATGGTAAATCTCGAAGGCGTTAAGGGGGGTAGTCTGGTCTATAGGTCACGAATTTAGGTTCTCTGTATTAATTAAAACAAAAGTATCAATCCCATCATTCTCAAACATTATATACGTATTCTGGCGTATTTTATGTACTAGTATTTTTCAAGCAATAATTCATCCCTCAATTACATAATATTGTACTCGTTGGATTAAGCTGTACACTTTTTTGAATTGAAAATAAAAAAATAAAGAAATCTATGTTTTCTCAAAGTATATCTATATCAATAAACGAGCAAAATTCAAGAAAGTCACTAGCAAAACCCGAACGAAACGTCAATATTTCTAACTCGTTTACTTCAGAGTTTCAAATTCAAAATTCGTTGTTTAATTTACCCACGATCGTACCCCTCGAGCAAAATTTATAAAGGACACTGTCACCGGTAAGCAATTCCCCATAATATTTAAATTATTCTTTAACCCTTGAGTGAAAATCAACTTTCCTTTAAAGCATTTAAAAAACAAATAATTTACATAGGATTAAAAGAGGGTTAAAAGCGAATTCTCAATGTTCCTTCGAAAAATTTTTTTCAGATTATTGAAACCTCGGATCGATTGAAAATATCAGGAACATTGTTTGGGGTTTTCAGAGCAGAAGACTCCCTTTAACGGGGATTCGCGTAAAGTGCTGGAACGTTCAAGAAGTGTCACCTGTGCCTAAAAAACGGCTTTGAAAGGTGCGCGTCGCAGGCGTGGTGGCGTTGGTGGAATCCTTGGCGGGCGTCGTCGTGCCAGTGGTCGGCGTCGAGACCGTGGACGCCGAGTTCGACGTCGGTGCTCTCGCCAAGTATTTCTGCTTCATTTCCTCGGCGGTGAATGGCGCACCGGTGCTACGGATTCCTGATCCTCCTGAGCTTTCGGAGCCGGTGCTCGAGTCTGATGAAGCGCCTCGCGTCGCGGGGGCGTGGGTATCCGTCGAAGTTCTCCTGCGAGCAACGATATTTCAATTAACGATCAACCCAGACACGGTAAACTCGACGGTGCAGCCGCGTGCAGTCGTTGCACCTTGCCGGAAAAGGGCAAAATTTGTATTGGAATAACAGATAACCGACAAGACGAGCAGCAATTTATTCGCGACGACGCTTATTCGTTAACCATTAATTAACCATTAATTTTGTTTCAAAGTGTTGTGATTTATACAGCTAGGTGGTTAATAAAGGCACACTTTCATTAATATGAAGAACGTTCACTTCTATTAGACGCGGATTACAATACTGTACACGGTCATACATCTCGAATAAGCGGGCGCTTCAAATATCTTTCTCGACACAAAGTTTCTCGTTTCAGAACGTAATTTCCTTTCATCCTCGATTTCATTTTGTAAAAATTCAAACGAGCTGTTTCGCGTTTGTTAGCGGTGCTTCGAAAGTTTACGTCCCTTTAAGCGATCTATTCCTTTTGCAATTTGCTGGGCTGCGAGGATTTAATTGGAAGCTACCCTTAAAATAGCTCCTCTCCGAGATGTTGCTTTTGGTCAGCCATCAAGATTTTTCTTTGCGTTAGAAATAATTACGAACAAGTAGATAGAATGATTATAATACGGGAAGAAGGTCGAATTAAGCGTGTAATTATATGAATTATATTTCTTCTTACTATATCATTCTACGAGAAAGCTTATTAATTCACTGGAGGAAGCTGACAATTTTAATCTCGTCGAGACACCGTGACAATATATTACCATTAAAATTTTTACCGAAGTATTTCAAACATGATACCGAGTCGTCTAATTTATATCACAAATTTTCCCACGCGCGAGAAAGCGCAGCGCGGTCGAACGGGCCGGAATTTCGGAATTAAAAGGGATTAAAACCCCGGTGTCCGTAGTTTCGGGTATTAGAATTTCTCGCTCGTTAAAAAGCTCGACATGGCGTTACGAACCTATAAAAATACCTCGCGCGAAAAAAAGAGTTTCCCGCTATCGAGAGAAGAACGAACGGAAAACCGCCGTTTCCTTTTTTTTTTTGCCAGAAGCTGGGACAAACGTCGCGTCGAGCACGTTTGGAATTTTAGAAAACACTCTCAAATATTTCCAAGGTGTACGAGGTATTTTTCGTTTCTTGTGGAAAAGAGGAATGAGGGGGAGGGGGGTGTTGCGTGTTTTTCGGCGGATGGTATCGATTCTGCAATTAAAACGTAATGCTGCATCACGAGGTCGAATCGAACGCGCCTCCAGAACCAGGAGCGTTCGATCGAAACGATCAGTTTCTAGCGAACGAGCATAAATCAGGCTGTCTGACTAGGTACGCTCCGCTACTACTGGGAGTGCATAGTGAACGAGGCCACGTGACTCGACGTTTACGGTGGTACAGCTGAATGTGATCAGATTGTACGTACATCTATCGGGTAGCGGGGGCCTAATTTATCGTGGCAAGTTTGTTAAATTAATTCTACGACCCACGCCTCGATCAATGGAACGTATTACTCGACATAATTAATCCGTATTAGATACGGTTTACGCTAGTTTATTAACGCGTTGATAGAACACGGTATGGTATTTCCAAAATTACCATTTGTAAAAAACTAGCACTTCGCGATACTGAAATAATCATTCCGAGTGGAGGGTCTGGTAAAGTGTACGTTATAAAAGTTGTTAAAAGTTAAATTTGGAAATTTTTAACCGAGTCTATTACCATTTATTAGAAAGTATTACCATATTAGTTTCACCGCCAGATAAAAATCGTATAATAGTTTTGGAAGACTAAAATTTTGATTTTAGACCATTGTGAACTACGGATCATTATGCAAATTCATATTTTTATTAATAAAATTAACGAAACGGTATCTTACTTTGCGTATTTCTTATATTCTTGCATATTAAGTGCATTCTGCAATTTTTCGAGAATTAACACCTCCGATAAACGCATATACATCAGTAGTCTACTTATTTTTGTAACCTCGCTATTTCCCTCAATGTCTCACCTTCGGAATCAATCTTTCTACTTTCATAACGATAGTTTCAAGTAAAAATAATTTTATCGTTCGATCTCTTCTATCCTGAACACCGCGAAAAGGGATAATTCGCGCGGTAGGAAATGACGTCGAAGAAATCAGGGACGAAATAAGTCAGAAAATATTCCCATGGAAAATAACGAGAATATTTTATGAAAAATGAAGGGGTTTATAGATACATACGTACCTCGTGGGTATCGGTCTTCGCACTGGTTCCTCAGGTTCCCGTTCCGGGGGTGTTTCCCTAGGGGTTGGACGTTCCTCGACCGTTTCTGTCGCAGGTGGCGTGGCCACGGTTTTGTTTTGCTTCTTGATCCTGGAAATCTCATCGTCCTCGCTGGTCTGCCTCGCCATCGCTGTGGGTACCTTTCTGATCTGTACCTACGCGATAAACAGAAACGTTTAACACGGCAAAAAGATACTTTACGTTGTCTTTCCTTTTCTTTTTTTCTTTTTTTTTTTCTAACGCGACACACGCGTCCGCGGTAAATTATTCGCCGGGCGTGTTACGTGCTCGCAAATACGTTAGGAAAGGACGTTTTTTCCACGCGCTGAGCGTGTACTTCTGTATTTATGCGGTAACACGCGCGCTCGCTCGCGGTGAATTAATACGCCACTCCGATTCCACGGTTCGCGTTAAAACGCGATTATAAATGAATAGGCGGTTCGTGGGACGTTGAGGGTTCGTCGCCGGTACCAGTGAAGGAAAAAACGAACATTTCTGATTGTAAAAGAATTGTATGTATTATTTAATTTGCGTTATAATAGGATCTTCTTGTACAAAATATACAGGCATCTTGCTACACACTAAATTTCCATCATTCGCTCGTGTATACGATTATTTACATGCACGTGAAACACCATGGTTCCACGTTTCCGTCCTCGTGAGGTATCGAATTATTTTTAAAGCTCGTTGAGATTTATGCCCTTTACGTGTCCGTGGATGGGGAGGGGAGTGGTTACACACCGTGTACACGTTCACTGATCGAAAATTAAGTTCTCGTTGAATTCCGGTCCAAGCGACATAACGCGAGATTTCCGAAGCTACGCTTCGCTTTCCATCAAACTGCCGCTCGCTACGGTCCATCTCCCCCGTATTTCGCCTGCCATAATAAGGGAATCCGTGGGAAAATTCTGTGGTGGAATCACTGTCAAAAATAAATACGACCGTGTGAAATTTACGACAAACCAATCGACATTGTTCTCCGGATTATATATTTCTAATGAACGCGACACGCTCTACGGGGGTTCTATGGAGCGGGCGGGGGGATCGAGACCACGATTTATGCGTCGAATCGTCTTTTGGAACGCGGCGATAAAAATTCTTCGATCCGGAACGGATAAAAGAAATACGCCCGGTACCCGCGGCGATTCGTCGAAACGATCGGGATCGAACGTTTCGATTTATAAACACGGCAATTTCCCGTGGCGCGGAATTTTTGTTTCCTTCGAACACCGGGGAAACCTACGAAAGCGGAGAAAATGTTTTTTGGAGGTGGGAGCCGTCCGGGAAATCAATAACCGCCGTTAAAACTGAACAAACCGTAGCGGTCTCGAGACTAAACGGAAATGCCCTCGAATTAAATTTCACGATTCGAGCACCGACGGGAAGAAAGAAAGATCGGTTCAAGGGGAACGTGGTAACACGAGTAAAGTATCGGATCGTTTGATAAATCTTCTCGTTTTCTTTTTTAAGAAATTCGAGTGCAAGTTTTGCTCGTGATTTGTTTGTGAACTGATTAGAAATTTTAAACGCCATCTCCTAGCGGGAAGCATCATTTCTAATACTGGTTTCTTAACTTTCCATTCACTTTCCATGTGAAACTAAAAATGAAATTACCATATTTTCGGTAAAGAATTTTTTTCTCGAAAATGGTTAGGATTTCGGGGGTGTGTCTGTTCACCAAAAATGGTTGTAATTGACCCCTGCAATCAAAAATAAATTTTTTAGAAGGATTTGAAAAGTTTTAATTTCGTCGAAAAATTTGTCCAGCTACTCGAATTTTTTTCTCGGGACTGTGTAGGATTTCGGGGTCATGTCTATTCACCAAAAATGATTGTAATTGACCCCCGCAACCAAAAATAATTTTTTTAGAACAATTTAACATTTTTGTTTTCGCCGAAAAAATTTCAGCACCTACCTCCTGTTTGCCAATTCTAAATGTTTCTCTTCGACTGTTTCGTTCAGTTGATTTAATTGAAAATGATCTTTGATCGATTGTTTTATATCGTAACGTTCTTCCAATCCCGCGAAATGCATAAAACGATCTTCTTCCGACGAAAACTGACTTCCGGAGTACTTGGTGCCTAACATCCAGTGTTTTTGAGCTCTACTGTAAATTATCCATTTCACTGTCTACTAAAATGGATCACTTATGTATTTCTCTTGTTGCCTATTATGTTAAAAAAATGTATATTATAAAATTATTGCCTCTTTTTTATTTGTACGCATGCTACATTCTCAAAAGGCCGATAACAAATATAATAATTGATAAAAAATAAAAAGTACAAGATACTTACCGCAAGAGATAACAACTCGTAAAGAAGATATATTCTTCTGAGAACACCTTTCACATTTTACGATTTTATAAATTTCACAGTCTCTCGACAGGCTTGATATCACATTTATCGTTGATCTCGCACTGATCTCGTTTCGTTTGAACGTATTCTGCACTTCACGAAACGAAATATACTCTCCTTTCGCGCGAGACACAATTCGAAACAATTTTCTAAACTTCTACATTGTAGCTTTCTAATCATCGTGATTAACTGCTTCAATACAATCCCGCTACAGCCATAAATTAAAAAAACAAAACGAGAATACATTGTTGAGTCAATGTGACTTTTTTTCCGGGGACTGATCTTTCTTTCTCCCTGCAATACGATCGTTCTATGGAGAATCGTGGAGAACAGCGAAAATTGAAAAAGGGGGACGTTGGAACGCAGCGAAAGAAAAAGAATATTAGAGATAAAATGGAGGGCGAGGAGTTCAACTAACCTGAGGCTTTGGTGGTGGGGTTTGTTGAACAGGATGAGGAGCTGGCTCTTCTTTCTTTCTCTTTCCGGCTCTTTCGTACTCCTGGAGCTTCTTCATGACGCGCGGCGAGTCGGTCAGACGAAAGATACCCGAGAGTGGCCCACGCGCCGCGTCCTCTGTGTCCAGAACGCGTTCGCGTAGTCCTGAGGATTCCTGAGGCGTCGACGTGAACCTGACGGTGGACCTCGTGTCCCCGTCGGAGTCGTCACCGTCCCGATGCCGCATAAATCGACTCCTGTACCTCGATTTGTTCCTCGATACTTCGTACTCCGGCGCTTCGTACCTGTGCGATCGGTGACTATAATTCAGCTTAATTTTTTCTGTATTGTCAGCTTCGGAGCTGATAATGGTCCTATTGACAGGGAACAGCTAATGAGGGGAGTTTTCGATTCACAAGTATCTTTGGTATGTATACATAGAACGATTGATAATTCATGGGGGGACAAACAGGGCTAGGGAATCTATGCACAGCTCTGCAATTTATTCAGAACTCTGACTTTATAATTTTCTCTTCAACTTTCGAAATATATACCATCGCATTTAGATTGGACATATTCATTCGGGAAATTACAGTTATTTCCCCACTCGCACTCGCACGCTATAATGGTGATCCACTGTAAATGAAAAGGAACTTGTTCTTTCTTAGGAATTTTTTCCCCATTTATTTTTACCAAATGTTGTTTATTACAGTGTTGCGTTGTTTCTATTTACGAAGTAGTTCTTTTTTTAATATTAATTTGCATGTAATGCTTAATTACAAGGGGGATAATAATATAGAACAGTGTATAAATCAATAATACAACGCAGTGTTTCCAACTTGCCATGACTAATGACAAGTCTTATAAATATTTCAATGTATGAAAGAATGGTCCTGTACCAGTTTCTAAGGCAACGATTCACAAGGAACAAGCTCTTTTTCATTCATAGCGAATCACCATTAGTAGCTCTACACAGTAAAATATTTAATTCAGGTAAAACACTAATTACCGTTTGGATTCTCTTTCGTGAAAACATCATCTTTGATCGATATTAATATCTATAATATATTTCACGATAAAATAGAGTTATTAGAGCAGCTGTATAATCGAGGATGTATTATTAATTAGCGTTTTAGAGTGGAAGAAGCATGGAACGATTAGCTTCTTCGAGCGTAACAACCGAGACTGAATGGAGTTTACGATTTTCTGGTAGTGGGTTATCCGCGTTTCGAGGCGCGCGGCAACGGATGCATCCTGTTGCTCAATTATCGCTCTTCAGACACCAGAATGGCTCGGTATAATGAGGGAAGATCAGGATGGGGGATGGGGCCGTATGTTGACGGTAATTGATCTTATTCAAATCTCCGCAGTGCAGTTACTCGCGACTCGAAAACGCGAGATGCGAGTTTTCCGCCCGCGGAGTCTGGAATTGTTCGCAGACGTTGGGACGGGAAATTACGCCCCGGAAAACTCCCCCGTCGACCGTGTAATCCGATTCCTTGGAAAACGATCTCTTAAAAAATTGATGCACATCATTTGCTGGACTTTCATTATTGACTTTTGTGCCGGAGTCTAGTACACGGTCTACAGAACGATATTCTCGGAAGTAATACATTTTTCAAATTGAAATATGGTTTGCACGTTTCGAAAATAAAAACTAATAACACGGTTTAATTTCGGTATTGGTTAAACGTTTCGATTCTCTTCGATAACAATTTGTTTCCCTTTAATCTTCCACATGCTCGTACGGAAACTGAGTACCTTTTTAATTGTACGAAATATGCACGATTCGAAGAATTAAATTGTTGGTAATAATTTTGAAAATCTAAAAATTGGAACAACGAATTGAAACACGTGTACGTGTCTGCAGAAAAATAACACAATAGCTCCGATATAAATGCAAGAACGTTATAAAATAGGAAGATATATGCAGAAACGATTTGAAAATATTCTCGTGGTAACGGGAAGATAGCAGAAAATTATTTAGAATGCCCGCGGTTAAATAAATTGCTTAATCTTCGAGCACCCGTTACCCGTTTTCTAGGACACGGAGCAGAAAAACAATTGAGCACAGAATGAATATAGCGAAGGGTTAAACTAGTTGCTTGGAAATATCTTCTTCTGCCTTTTCTAGACCGCTCGAGTGTCTGGAGATTTTCATTTCACCGCCATCGAAGTGGAACTCGTTTTGTCGAAACCTTTAATGAAACCTGCTCGAGGGAGAAACCACCGACAACCAGTAAGAAAATTTTCAATTAGCGTCACTCTGTTGTCGATTCGCGCAACGTCGTGCTACGGTTCATTTTTTATATCCTCGAAATCTTCAATTTCGTAAAGAAATTATTTGCAAATGTTCCATTTCGGATGAAATTTTTATTTTCGCTCGTTTGGTGCTTCTTCTCGACGAACGTCGCGTGTTTGATGAGGTTCGAAGGCGTTTGAAGTTTCGAAATCGTGCTTCCCCCGGACGAAGTAGCGTGCAGGGTAGTTTCGTCTACGCGATTATCCGCGATAATCGGTCGGGAAATTGGGAAATTAGCGGGTGGATCGGTCACGCGACGAGCAGAATTGCGGCTCGTTCTTGCGGCGATCGAGGACACGCGAAACGACCGCGCAGTTTGGCCCGTTGGTTTACTGTTTATTACGCCCGCGCATTATATCAAAAGCTTTTCATTTACATTTTGACGAGGTGGCTTAATAAAACGGCCCGCGCCGCGGCGTATAACGCGAAACGGGCAGTAATTAAGCCCGACCGCGCCTATTTCGGCCTCGAGGAAGTTATTCGCGGCCCACGCCGCGGAAAAAAGATTACGGCCAGACGAGAGCCACGCGTATTTATAACGTTTGCTAGAATAGATATGTGGGACATCCTGAAAAATGTATGCCCACCTCGGATGCTGTTTGGCGATAGTCCAAAGTAATCCGCGCACACGGTCAAACAAGTTTTTACCGGTCAGTCCGCACCAACTCGTTGCTCCCCTGTCTTCAATTTTCACGATACCGAGAGCCAAACATCGAACAACACGTTTCTACTTAACAACTTACAAATTATAAAGTACTCGTTCGAGTTCATCAAACGTGTCCCACTTATCGGGCGCTTGGCATAATCTTTGTTTCATTACCAAGGAAAGAGATCGCATTTGAATTCAACATTCTCAAACCGACGAGGGTCGAATTTGTGATTTAGAAACAAACGTTAGTTATAGTTATTTTTAAACGAAATTTCAAACATACCAACGTTAACGATTCATAGTTTGAAAATAGATACCGGGATCTAGACTGGTTTATGGAATTTTTTGATCGCGTTTTAGCTTGACTGCATAAGTATTTTTCTTAGCGTATAATAAAACGAAATTTTTAACAGTTTCCAGGCTTGTTAGTGGGTAAATGTTTTAGGAAATAGCATCAAACTACATTTGAGTAAAAAATCAGTTTTGTAGCGACGATATAATGGCTTTGCCAACGAGAGGAGTGATAGTTGCCTTAATATTGTATTTTCATAAATTTTCCAAGTATTTTCTTACGCTAGGTGTATATTCACCGTTTACCTCGCAGAATGTTTAAATAATTCTGTGTTGTAAGTAATGCAATCGCCCAAGAAAGAAGTTTGACTGCGCGGTGCTATTATATAACGATTACGTCTGATATGGAACATCCGTGACCTCCGCCCTTTCGTTTTTTACATGAAATTTTCCAAGTTTGCAGGCCGGTCAAAAATAAGGGTTACGTATTTTTTTGTTAGCAGCGGTAACTCAAGTTTAGGGGTGAAACTACCCTACAAAGTTACACCCCTTAACGATATTTTAAATGCTGTTCGAGATTCGAGAAAGTTTCATCGACAAATTCATTATGGTCTTTTTATGGAAAATAATACCAGCAACAGAAATAATTAAAAAAGTTTGGGAATTACTTTTACCACTTGTATTCTCGACACTTATAAAAAGACGAAACACTGGTTTTGTTTCGAATTCATGGCTAGCTATAAATAGATTTATTTCGTGCTTATACCGTGCACAAATTAAAAACATGAAACGAGAAATTGTTGAGATCTTCTTTCGAGATTTTAGAGTGGTTGAAAATAAAAAATACTTTTTTTCATACTGTAATCTTATATATATATATATATCTAATGCAGATTACAATGCCTACAAATGATTTATATTTTCATAAAGATCCATTTAGAATTTGTTCGAAACAAGACCAAAAAGACCAAAACCTTGTAGGGTGGTTTTCTCCAGCAAAGAAGATTTATTTTATTTTTCACCGCTAAGTACAAACCTGCAAAGTTGTACGAAAAACGAAGAGGAATATTCCCTCAACCGACATTCACAATGCGACGGAAATTAATGTCTTTATTCCTTAAATGCGTTTCTTTTTTTTTTATAGAAATTAAATTTACTCTTCAAGCAACCTTTCGTAAAAACTTCGTTGGATCTAAATTCTGGCAACCTGTCCAGCTTCACGGTACAGTTTCTATTACGTTCTTGTGTAAAGAAACTAAAAATGCAACGCGGTAGGGTTTTAAAGCCTGGGTGGGACGTGTCTTGGCAAGTTCGCGAGGGAAACAGGTAAGGAAGGTAAACGAAAACGAACAAAAGATATAATTACTCGTATTCGGGCAGGTATCGATTTCTCGCGAGCCGTTCCTCCTCTTGCTGCCTGTACTGCGAAGCCAGACGATGGTCACTTTTACTTCTCATGAGGCCGGGCGATCCTCCGGGTGGCGCTAGGCTGCTCGAACTACCCAGCAACCCTCCGCTTCCGGTCTCCGGCTTAATATTCAGCTCGCCGTAACCCGCTACGTGGAGGACCAGCTGGTTCGGATCGTGGGCCATCACGAAACGCACTCGCCGGCTGTAATCCCCGGCTTCGTACTCGAAGTTCCTGCAAAACGATCGAACATTAACGATTGTTTCGATCATCCATCAATTATAGACTAAGGAAGAAGGATAGACTGCAATAGACAATGTTGAGAATGTAAAAACAAACGTAAAACATGTAAACCATGTGAAAACAGGATAATATGACGCAAAAAGACTGGATGTGTCACTCTTAATAAAGCAATTCTAAACATCAAGCTGTTGAAAAGAAGGCTTAATTTGTTCAGCGCAGTTCACGTGGTTTTAAGTTTATCGATGTCATCGTTCGAATATTGTGCAGCTTTCTAAATGATTGGTCTCGTTACAGACAATTTGCTGGGAAAGTATTGGTCGCAAACTGTACCAATTGTTTCGCGAGATATTTCCCGATATAGAGACACTTGGTAGAGTTTACGCACACAGCATGCTTCGTTTCTTCCTTATGTTTAGAGCTTTCCGCCGCCTTTGTGATTTCCCCTTTAACCCAGTTCCTAGTATCTTTACAATTGTATGTTTTCTCACACCGATTTGGAATATTAATGACGAATTGCGCGAGGAAAACGTACACGGTGATCTTTGAGACGATCAGAATCTATTTTAGAACGCTCGCGTGTTAGCGTACACTTCCGTTTAGATCGACATGATTCATTACGAATGATAAGAAACTTTTGTTTCTTACGAATATACTTTCCATTTACTTTCATCAAATATTGCTCGATACCCATCGTACTACTTCGATTTCGATTTTTTGTGAGACGATGGAATACACATGCCCCGCTTCTGCGAAATATTAGCCGTAGTTGCTTGGCAGTTTGAACGATATAATTAATTAAAGTTACACACCGGGTACTATGAATATATCTGATCGCGGTAACCGCGACAGGGAAGTGACATATTGCGTGGTTTGCAAATCGTAAATTAAGCGATAATTCGATCACTGAGCTTCCGATTTAGAAGCCACGCAACGTGTCACTTCACCATCGCGACTTCTACGACTAGATAACTTTAATCAATTATATATCCTTAAAGTTATCGAGTAACTGTGGATAATATTGCACACGTATCGTTAGAAATATGTATTCCATCGTCCTGCAGATACTACGTTCTTTATAGCTCTTCATAGAACTAAAACTATTCTCTTCGTTTAAGTTTAAATAATCGATGGTACGCTTGTACGTTTTCTGATAACAAAGTGCTAATTTACTCTGACTCAACTTGAAATAAAAGTCAGAAAGAACTTTCTGAAATGACAGTTCGTTATTATCTAGTGGTACTAAAAAATAAACGGAATGTCAATTTTTTTTCTTGCAAAAATTTTAATTGCTTTTTAAATAACTTATCCATTATACTTGCAGTAAATAACAATCGATTTGTACATCTTTGAAGCCTGAAAAATGGCGTCCTGTCGATACTTTGGGTTCCGTAGCGATACAAAGTTCGATCATTTCTTAACATCCTTCTTTTATGACTTCCGCTATTCCGGAAGGTAATTAAAGTGAAAGATCCGCGCGTGAAAGTTCACAGACACGTTCAAAACGTGTTGGACACTCGTTGCATTCAAGGGTAGATACGCAGCCTTTGCATTTTATATCAGGGAGCCCGTAACTTATTCTTCTTCCCGTTTCTTTGCCCTATTTATCGCGACGTCGTGGAAACAAGTCCGGAAAATATTTCACGAAGTTTGTTTCCGCGATGGTCGTTCCGCTTCCGTTGCGTCTTTCGGTAATCTTACCCCCGCGGCGGCGATAACGGCCAAAGGACCAGGAACAAAGGGATATTTAAGGGGTCGCGACATCTTCGTGGCGAAAACACATCGAAACGATTTGTGTTCGTAAACGATAATCGAAATCTCAATCCTTCTCTTCCCACAGTAACCACACGATAAATTGAAACCAAAATCGAGATGAATTATCGTTTAGAATTTGGAATTAATTATTCCAAAGCATTTTATTTGCTAATGGTTTGGAATTACAGAGTTGAAATACTTTAATAATAATAAGAGCAAGAACACGAGTATGATTAATAATAGCGATGTAATGTTTCGTTCATGCGTACCACGGAGGATGGAGCGCAAAAGTTGTTTTGGGGTCTCGTGGGGGTCGAAGGGCGCGCAGCTGGGGGCAGAAAGTTACGCGAAATATCGGATAAACGATTTGGAAAGGAGCGTCGTTACGCGCGCGAATGGCGTCTAGAATTGTTGTAAAATTAGAAACCGTATTTTAATCATTCTCCAACCGTAACGCGAGCCTCTCTCGAATCGAACAGCGGATCGTAGCTGCCCGCAGGAACACGATCGGTAAATTGAAAGATTTACGATGTTGCGCTGGTCGTCGTACGCGAAATTTCATCAATTCGTAACGACCTGTAAAATTGCCAGTTTAATAATGGAAACGACCGGGTTGCCGGCGCTCAACGGATTCGCGTGGCTCGATGAAAAATGGCCACTCGACGTTAAGTAATTATTTTCCTTCGGAAAATGGAGTCTTTTAAGACGCTCGGGAACTTCGGCTGTTATCTTTCGCGCAATATTCTTCGCGAGCTTCTTTCCTCGGCTGTGTCTATAGGTAAAATAATAAATACCCGGGGAAGAGGTCAAAGTTCGTTCGTGTATGCACCGCGGTAAGTAAAATAAATTACACGGTGATTGGAGAAAAATTGAACGATAAAAGATAGACGCCGGCGCACGAACCGAGTGATTTATCGCCCGTTCCACAAATTATGTTTTGCGCCTTGTGCAACACCTTTGGTTTTCTTTTTTTTTTCTTTTTTTGCGGAAATACAGCGACGAACGAAAGAATTGGCGCGCTACTTATCGTGCAAAACGCTTGTAATTGTTGGTGGAAAAAATAATCGTGTTTATTTCGACCACATCAAATATCTTTGTTTCTTGTTTTTTAAAAATAGTAGAGGTCGAGACTAATTCGATGCGTGATATATTCACTTTGAGAAATCCTCAAAATGACGACCATCCGCAAATGTACGATTATTTGAACCATGAATAATATCAGTATGACCCATAAATTTAAATTCTTTCAGTTATTTCCTTATGTATTCATGATTGAATTTTTATACAGTTTAAGAAGCGTATTAAAATAAATATCTTTACACGAATAAATCTTCGCTGGATATCAGCGATTCTGTATAAATTTTTGAATAGTTTCGTGCAACGATCGGGTATGGACGGCAAGTGTTTCGGTGTTTTATTAAATCCCGGCATTCGTCGGCCACCGATTAAATTTTAAACGAACGAAAAGTTTAATGACGCGTGCTATCTTCGTCATAGCTTCTGTCGAAAGCCCGCCGGTTCTCGTCGGCATTGAACTTGACGCTCGATAAAGCAAGTAAAGCGAAATACGCGACTGGGAAATTGCCTCTCCGCGGATAAAACTCATCGTATTTCATACTCAAGGGGGATCGTTATTCCCCGCAGAGTCTACAACGAATTTTCGAGGGATCGGGATTTCCTCGAGATTTCACCGTCGTTCGTGAACCAGACGACAAAAGAAAAATAAAAACGAATTCCAAAGGTTTCCTTTTTAATTTTCTCCGGTTCTTCCGGCCTTTGACTAACCTCGAGACGGCTCTTAAGATACGAGGGTCGATTAATATCTCGAAATCGATGCTCGTTACGATACGATGCAACGTCGTTTTGCACGCCCCGCGAGAAAGATACGACATTTACTGCAAGTGTTTTAAGGAAACGCGATAGAAGCGTGGGAGTATCGTTCCTTTAACTCGATAAATTTTAATCTCGATCTGCGTGTCCCGGAAGGGTACTACGCGAACGTTTTGGAAGATAACAAGTATCGCGGAGAAATTTGTTTTCATACTCGTGCCGTAACGGAGAGGGCTGCTCCTTACTCGAGGGCGTCATTAGAAAATAAAGGATTATACTCTTCGGTCCGGTGGCCCCCCGGGGAACCGTGATCCCGATAGGAAAATATTTTTTTTTATTTATTTCCACGGTAGAACCTTTTTGGTACACGTACACGATCTATCCGAAGAGAAGCAAGATAGGGCGAAACATGATGGTAACAAGAGCATGATGAGTAATGAAGTCGAGTTTCGCTAACGAGGAACATCCAGGAACTGTCCAACCTCGACTTTCATGAAAGTTTGAAGGTTCGTAGATACGCCGAAAATAAGGGATAAGTTTTGTTCTTGGCCGCGGAAATTCCAGTTCAAGGATACCAACCTTCGTGCTTTCATCACTCTAATATCTTGGAAACTGTCGGGGGATGAAGGAAACTTTTTTCAACGAATTCTTTAATGAATGTGTTGGTTGCAAAGAGTTAACGATTATGATAAAATTAGTTTTATATAAAATATAATTTATTCGAAAGATTTGTCAATTCTGAACTATACCATACAACGCTTGAAAGACTTTTCAAGTTGTATTTACCGGTTAATGACATTTTTTTAAAATCGAGAATTTCCAGGAAAATTAAGTTTGCGTTACGTTCTTGATGAAAACGCTTAAATGGCTCGGTTAATAACATTTTTTAAATTAAGAATTTGCGGAAGAGTATGTACGAGGTCGTCGACCATATCGATGGTTTACGTAGACAAAAGTTTATGTTGCCAAAGTTGCAAGAGTATTTATTATTTTTAGCCGGTTCGTAAACCCTGCAACGTGTGCGAAGATTTAGCGGTAGCCGGGAGAAGTTTGAGAAATACTGTCACGAAGGACTCGAACACGCGTTAGGGTGGAAAAAGCTGGATAGATTATGGACGACAAACCTGATGAATTCCACGGTGCGCAGGAAGAGCTCTTTTGTGTCGAGGAGCTCCGAATCGTCCCACGGCACGTTCTCATTGATGTGAGCCTCCGCCAAATCGCAGTTGCTCTGAATATTCGCGATTTCCAATTCGAGATTCTCTTTGAGCTGAATCATGCCTCTGAGCTCGGTGCTCAGGTATCGATCGACCTCGTTACGCAGATGTTCAGTACGGTCTTTCAAAGCCTTGCTCAGCCTCCGATAAATCTCGTCCACCTCTTCCGCGACCGAGGCGCAGTTTGTTTGCAGACCAAGGGTGTTTTTCTCCACCAGAGCCAACGCGTCCTGCAACCTGTGCAACCCTCTGCGAATCTGAAAAGAGGATTATCGTCGGATCCATGAATAAATTCGTATAATTATGCCTCTCGGGTTAATCGAGTCGCGAGCTATTTTTTTTTTCAGGTAGAACGGTCCAACCAGGATTCGATTATCCGGTGTACTAACAGGACTTGATATTTTTAAGGAGGACCGCGATAATCGACACTTTAAATCACTGGTAATTCAGGATTTAATTGGCATCGATTAGCAAGGAAATTGCAAATATTCAAAACGACAAACAGTAGGTTGTGTAATAAGGTCTCTAAATGTTCTAATACTTTATTAGGAACTTTCATCGGATGACTAGATTTGATTGGACTCGTGTCCAAAAAATGAGTTGTTTTCTAATAAAAGTTATTGCAGTTGGGATGTTCTATCCCACCCATCATATTCACCAAACCTTTTAACCGAATTTTTTGATGAACGAACAAGGATGACAGAAGGTTATAGAATAAAATGGCAGTATTTCGAGACTATAAGAAATTGGTTAACTAATTACTGTTAAAAATTAGCCTCAACTACTTCTTTTTTAGAAAGGGTTATATTTCTTGCTACATTAAGAGTTAAACAAAATATGGTTTGACTCGCTTCATCTCAGGTCGGTGGACCTCGATTTATCTGACCTGCTTCGGGTTCTCATTACGTCGGTTAATCGAAATCCTACTGTATTTGCGGAATTGCGCTGTTTGATCGCACTTCTCTCTTGTTTCTAGAAACCATTCCCAACAGAATGCGTGTTTGCTTTTTTCGTCCGTTCGAGACAAAAAATTAATACAAATTCGACTGGAGAAGTAAATAGTTCACATTGGCAGACATTAGCTATTACTGCACTATCGAAGAAATTTTATAATTCATTGTACGAAATGTTTGCCTAAGAGTCTCAAACTCGATAAAAGAACGAAGAAACCTTGAAAATTTTGTCCTGTGAAATTTTAAATTAAATCTTTGATGATATTACAGAGTCTTCGACTACAGTTTTATATGTATATTTATTTATAGTAAATATTAAAATTTAAAAATATTATGGAAATAATCCCAATATGGCTTCCCTCCCCCCGAAAGATCGAAGTATCGTGAGAACTTTCCTTTCGCGGTTTCGTTGGAATCGTGGAATTTCGGGTGTTAGTGTTTTTCGTTTTGTTTGGAAATGGAATTCGCATCGTTAAAGGGAAGCGTTTGTTTTGCGCGCATTAGGGGGGCGAACAAATATACCGATAGTTATTTTCGGATTGCACGTACACAGGCGTGTAGTTGCACCACGGTTATGTTGACCCGAATTTACGGTATTCATCCGGCTTGAATCGAGTCGTTTGATCCGCTGGACGAGTTGAACGTTTCCCGCGAGCCCATTTAAAGTTTCCCAACGAGTTCCATAAATGTATCAAACATTTTTCATCGAATCGACTGTTTCTGCGATCGATGCAGCTTAGTTTAAACACCTTATTATTAATTTCTCGTATAAATTTCACTTTGTTCTCACAAGCCTACAGTCTGTCATTAAACGAGAAGTTACAACTCCCACAATTTTTAATATTTTTTTATGAAAAAAATACTGTATGTACTCATAAGATGAATAAATCAGTACAAAACAACCTATCTATTATTTTAAAAAAATTACAGTCTAGACAGCAATACCTCCTTAAATCGATCGAAGATAATTTAAAATCGTGCGATGACGATGTAGAATTAACGGGATTAAACGAAATAAACTGAGATTAAATCACGAGCGAACGATGCAAAAGGAAAATAAAACTCAGCTAGCGTCGCTTTGGTGCCAAGAACAGGGAAAATCTGTTTCGCGTTTGTTTGTCGCGCGGTCAACGCGGTCCGTGTAACACGCAACTTCCAACCTCAAACATGTAGCAAAACTCGCAAATTTTTCACTCGTAAATCCCCGGGAGAGCTGCTCCGATCCATGGCTCAAATATTGATCAACGTGTTTCGCGGTCCACGAAGCATTTAAGTTAAAAATGGAGTGAGCGAAGAATAGGTCGCGACGTTGTATGTTCCCCGTGGGCACGGAATAACAGTTGCGTTCTCTCCGTTGCAGACATTTCCCGGAAAACTTTGTGGGCACTTTCCTGAAACTACACAACGACCTTCGAGCTCTTCATTCGTCTCCTCCGGTAGTAATCGTCGAGGAGGTACGCACCGATTTCCTGTTATTCTATTTATACTGTTGTTGAATGTAATAGAAATATTCACATTCTTTCAGTCTTTTGTATTTCTCGGTGTTTAAAAATATTTAAAACTTGCAAAAGAATTGCATACAAAATTCAAAAACATATACAAACATATTCGTACATTATGATGGTGGCACGCTATAAATGAAAACAATTTGTGTAGATCCATTTTTTTATACATTGAGATACTTAAGGGTTTAAATGAACAATAAAACTTGTGAATGGTCGTATCATGTTTTAAACATTGGTTCTTAAAGCGAAGCTGCTTTGGACATTGCCGTATTATAGTTGCTTTATTATTGTATACTATTCATATTAAAAAAATATACTACTTCATAAATAGAGATAACACAGTGCAATACACGATAATGGTGAAAATAAATGGAAAGAATTCATGAGAAACATTTGGAAAGAAACGAGTGAATTTGTAACATTTATAGCGAATCGCCATTATAATAATGCCCGTAGGTCCCTTCTGGTTTGAATGACTGTAAACAGAAAACTTTGTCTTAAAGTTGAACGAACGCGCGCAAGAATGGGCGGACATTTTGGCGAAAAGGGGCGCGATCGCGTACAGATCGGATCCGGAATACGGTGAAAACGTATACGTGAGCCACTGGAGGGACGCGCCGAAGGAAACAAAGCCGCAGGATCCTATAAAATTTTGGTTAGTCCTCGCGGAAACGACGGAAAACTTATTACCGCGATCCATTTGAATCTGAATTTCAAATAACTCGACCGCGATTCGTATTTATTGATGTTCTAGGTACCGTGAGGGCAAATTCTTCAAGTACGGGGAACCGACGGTGAAAAATTTGGAGGACGTGCGCCACTTCACGCAACTGATATGGAAAGGAACGACATCGATTGGCCTTGGAATAGCTACCGGCTCCGACGGAAAAGTTTATTTCGTTTGCAACTATCAGACCCCTGGAAACGTCGACGGTGAATTCGCGGAGAACGTGTTGCCACCGGAACAGGTAAATCTTAAGAATTATCGATCACGTTATTTTTAATATTTTTCCACAATTTAAAAAGTCGACATAGACGTATATACATACACTATTTTTCACCAAACGTCTCGATTGTTATACGTATAGAGTTACTCGTATTCGTACACTATATGAAAAGAAATTTGTTTCTTACGAATTCTTTGTATTTATTTTTACCGAACGTTGCTTATTACGCTGTTGTAGTTTTTTAGGAATACAGAGTGTTCTTAAGTGGTCATCTTAGTATTTTCAACTTGCCACGACCATCGATACGTTTTATTTTTAATTAAGTCAAACGTTAACCCTTAAATATCTCTGTCTCTTAAAAAATGTATTTACACAAATAGTTGTGCGAGTACGAGATAACTGAACAACGTATATCCCTTTTTCCATCCAGCGTCCCATTTGTATTAGGAATTAATTCGTGTTTGTAATTGTCATGGACGAGACGAGTTAACTCGGTTCGCGTTTATTTTAGATTGCGCGTTGCGCGTCGCATTTCTGGTCTGAAAATGACTCGGTTAATAGGCCAATCTCGTAGCCGTGACGTTTTATCCGTTTAACGGGCACGATAACTTCTATCTGGCTCGCGGAAACGCGACGGGCACGGCGGTGGAAATGAAAGTCGTCGGACGATACGGTCCGCGCGTTAACAGACCGATAAAAAAAGGGAAAAACGAAGTCACGCGTGAAAAAACATGCGATACCGGAATTGGAAAACGCGCCAGGGTGAATCGAATCGCGAACGGAACCAGAAACTTTGATCGCCCGAAAACGATCTAGCGTCGAAACTATTACGCAGTTTTCTATGGAAAAAACTCGTGTAACTTACGGGGGGAAATTCGATAATGGAAATACGCTCGAAAAAGTTTGAAACGTTGCACGAATCAGTCGCGTGTATATGATTCTTCGTTTATAAACTTCCGAAAAGCGTCCTTTAACACTGATTTTCCCCGTATTAGTATCTCTGTCTAATCTTGGTCCGAAGAATTAATTAGACAGTTGTAGTAAATTTGGAGCTTTCTGAAATCGACATGGAAATAAATGCGAATCGTCGAAAGTAATTTAAAGGTTGGTTGTAATTGTTTTCTTTTGAAAGGATCTATCGTTCCGAAGGTTTTATACGATGGAACGAAATTTTCGGGCGGGGGAAACAAATGGTTGGTGTTTTTTGTTGTTGTTTTTTGTTACGAGTGTGCATTTTCACTTTGGGCGCGTGGTATTCGAAAAGGATTCCCACGAACGTTCGGTACGCGAGCGTGCTCCTCGTACCTGGGAATTGATGCGCGTAATCTCACGCCTGAGGATGTCCATGTGAGCGTCCTTGCACTCGGAGCAGCACTTTTTCTCGCAGTGCACACAGAGGGAGCAGTAGCTTTTCTCTGAACAAACGCCGCACCGTTCCATTGTCTGGCCGCTGGTCGGGTCTGGCAGCTCTCCGGTGATCTCGATGTGCAATTCCAGGAATCGTTGCAGGGTCACGTTGGTCGGGAACGCCTGCACGCCCTGCCAGACAAGACGACGAGAGTTAGAGGATCGCGAACGCCCGATAGAATAACCATAACTCTTCGCGGAAACGAAACGAAAGGAATTCCAATGAGACTACGGTTACTCCTATTCGCACGCTACAATGGTGATTCCCTATAAACGAAAAGAAACTTGTTTCTTATGGTTTTCAAACTGGTATCAGTCCACTTTTTCATACGGTCAGATTAAAGTATTTTGAAAGAAACTACTTTGTAAATAGAAACACCAAAGTGTAATAAACAACATTTGGTAAAAATAAAAGGAAAAAATTCGTAAGAAACAAGTTTCTTTTCATTTATATTGTATCACCATTATAGTGTACGAACGTGAGTGAGAGTGACTGGTATTTATTCGTTACCAGCGTTACGATTTTAAAAAATTATTCTAAATTGTTTTATTTTTAGATAAATGACTGATTCTCATTACGAGACAATATGTTCGTCGCGGAAAGTAAGATAAATGATTTGCAAAAAGTGTCGCTTTATGTGACGCGTAACTTCATCCATTTTCATGAGAGAGTCTCTGTCTCCGCAGATTCTCCCTTGAATAAAGATGAGCCCACGCATTATACGCGGTTAAGTAAAACCTCATTCGAGCACGGTTAATTTGAAGAACGCATGTACCCTACATTTTCATCGTTCATTCTTCGCAATTTCTCATTTTAATTAGTTCCTGACACGCGACGATATTAACAAAACTTTCGTTCGTGCTACTTTTGTATTTAAACCCATTAGCATCGTACGAAATAATGAGAAATATGCCCTTATCAGAATTCTTTTTCACCGAATCTACGCACAAGTATTTTGAGGAGTATTACAAACATATTTAGTGATTCGAACCCAGCCACCCATTCAGAATTTTTCAATAAAAATTAAATCCCCTTTCTCGTTCTCTAAAATTCTTTATTTCTTTACAAACGAATACTCTCTTTTAACCCGAATTATAACGAATGAATGAATTATAATTATAATATAATTATTAGCAGCCACGAGTATTCATCGAGAAATATATTTAAATAGAATCAAGTTGAAAACAACCGGACAGAAAATTGAATAAAATAAAAATTCGCTAAGATTGTCACGATCACGGATATCGTCGGATGCCAAAATTGTAGCGTGTTCTAAACAGCTCCGTGAACTCGAAGAAGGTTAAGAATCGCTGGGTCGACGTATCCCGAAGGCAATCATAAAATTATTTTTGTTCTATAAGAGTGAAACGAGCCGTGAAAACTTGCGACGTTCGAGGTTGTCGGTCGCAGAAACGCCCTTAAAGAAGCGATTTCGCGGAACCGGATGTTCGCGACAGTTGCCTCTAATGGCGGAAACTCCTGCCGTTGACGCTTCCGGAATCGATTACCCACCTGGTAAGGTACACGATGTTCCGCGCGGCATTCTGGACATTTGAGCTGTCGTCTCACATAATCAATTAGACCATCCATGCATGGCTCCATGCAAAAGCTGTGCTGGCATGGTAAAAGCTTTGGGTTCCTGTACCGGTCCAGGCATATAGCGCACGTCAGCAGTTGCTCGAACTGCTCCATGCCTGCAACACATGTAAAAAACACTCGTCACTTCTTCGTTTATCGCTATTTTTACCAATTCGATTCGAATTTGTCGCGAGAACAATGATCGAATTATACAAATTTCTTGCTTGTTTTTCGATATAATTTTAAAAATCACTGGACGTTGTATGGAAAATATTAAACAGTAACGTGTATGAGCACTTAAAGCAAGAGTCTTTATATTATTGATTTATCATTGCACATTATTACTAATATTTCTGCGGTTTATATTATATATTATTACTTTTTGGTTCACTATTTTAACCAGAGATATCCTGGCTCAGGTCTTTGGCATCGGGTCTGACTCGAGATAAAATTCCACGCGACCGAAAGGTGTATTTTTAAAAATTTGCACCAAGCGTTTGACGTTGCGTGACAAAATATAGCGTAACGTAATCCCCAATCTATTCGTACGATTCGTTGGAGCAGAGCGGCTTAGTTATTCTATTTATCGAATCGATCTGCGTCACGGGTTCAAACAGCCCCCTATGAAATATTTTCGAAGTTCGCGTCACTGCGTGAAATACGAAGTGACCGTCGTCACGGCTAATAAATAGTTCGAACTCGTAATCCGTGGTCTGTTGCAATTCGAGACCACTATTTTGCCAAATCGTTATTCACCGCGTCGTATGTTTGCTCCCAAACATTATATTTTTCCCTTGATTCATCGAGCACCTGATCGAGGGAACAGTCATCGATTACTTCCGTTTCGTTCATCGTCCGGTGGAACGATTTCAAACTCGTTTCCCCGCGAACGTGTTTCAATTATTTCTATTCTTTTCCTGACGATTTGCAACGCGTGTATTGAATCCAACGAGACAATGTCAAGATCTTGGCAGTGTCGTCAATCTTCTACGTTGCCAAACGGAGACAGGCATCGGTTAGGAGTTAATTGAGTCGAATCGAGCTTCGTGTCAGACACTTGGGTGCCAAGGAACTGAGCTTGTAGTAATAATATAAACAGTGTTAATAACAATACGAGATAATAAGTCTCGACACCGTTGCTCCTAAAAATATACGACAACGTAGAGAATTATCAGCTACTATCAGTCGTCTCAAAACATAATATTTGTCGTTAATAATCTTTAGAAATTCTTCAAATCTTCTGGATAAATAGAGGTTTTAGAAAATGAATGACCTTCAAATGTCCTTGTCATTTACACTGGAAAAAAATAAAATTTCCAGTTCAAATATTCTATCTACCTTTCAAAATAAACAATCCAGGCGATCTATCTCAATTATCTCTCGCGCATTATTTACGACACTATGATCGATGGATCAAGGAATGAACTCTGAGGAGTTCCTGCGTACTCGGTGCACTGGAAATTAGGCCAAAAAACGATTTCGTCTCGCAATTAGGAGGCTTGGCAATCACCCTGTCTCGACTTCCTCTCTCTCGAGTGTTTCAAAACTTTCCGGTTAATTTACGATCGAGATCCACGCCGATACGCGCGGCGTCGTTGAAAACGGACACTCGTGGAAAATACGATTCCCCGACGTTCGTAGCGTCTCCGTACAGTTTGATCGATGCGACGCGATTACGCGATGAGCCAAGCAAAATATCCACGCGCGGATTCGACAAGACAGAGTTTTGTCTGGGCCGTACATTTTTCGATAATAACGGGACCTATTAATACCCCGGCTATTTCTATTCGTCAGCTCTCTTCGCGCGTCGCGACGCCTTCTCGATCGACACTCTAATTGTGGATCGAATTTCTTTTAATGCTTCAGACGCGATTTCCTAGTCTACTCTATAGTCGATGGTTATTCGAAGATTTGGCTTCCATTACATTGTTAGATACACTGAATCAAAAAATAGTTCTCCCTGCTCTAGCGCGACCAGTATATTATTTTTATCGTTTCTTCGTAACTTGTAAACGAATTATAATTATATGGTTTTTCTTATCATTGTATAGAATATGGGATTGTTATATCAGTGGTAATATAATTAATTTGTGCGAGAAAATTAATCGAAAATATGCTATAAAGCTTTTCGTAGGAGTTTGTCTAACGCGTCTGACTATTACCTGTTAGTTCTACTTGCGTGGAGTGTTTATAAGCATCGATACTGGCGCGATATTATTTGTATCGAATGATTTTAAGTAGAAATTACAGGTAATGTTGTCGACAGATTTTATTCGATCTGAAATTTTCAAAATGAAATTTAATTTTCCATTTTCGATTCACTTTTTCACAGTTACTGGACACATATTAAAATTAAAAATTATATTCGACTTCAGAATAAAATTGTACCGTGAATTAAACGGTGAATTGTAATAAATATAAATTTTGAATTATAAAATTGTAAAATAGTTGGAGGCAGATTCTAGTCCACGGAATTTTAAAATTGCTTTAAACCACGATTGATGTACGCTGATGACAGAACCAAAACATACTTCTAAAATGTAGGGAATGTGTCTAGAGAATCGTGTGGGTCGTATAGAAGTTATTGATGTAGAGCAGTAAATTGAAATCGTTGGATCGTATAACTCAAACGAGGCAGACATTAATTGAAGAAACGTGAGACAACTGTCCGTGTATATTTAACCAGCGTCGAGGTACAAGGCGTATTCGTTTATGAAGCTATCAAGCACTACGTGACAATGATCGCGTAACCTCGCGTACTTTCGCGTTATCTATAACCCCTGAGAATCGTATCTTCTCGAAAACACCACCCAAACATCGCCTAAATCTAAAAATATCGCCTGCGTAATAACATCGCGGCTCCTCGACTACCAATGCGAACCGAATCGCGTCGGTCTGCAACAGTGATGCGCAACTTTATTCGATGGTGTGCAAAATAAAACGAGGATACGTTTTTCGAGCAAGCACGCAAACAAAAGTTTCAATTTAATACCATCCAGCGTTGCGTGAATTTTGTTTTATTTTCCCTCGAAGTAATTAATATTGAAAATCGAACAATGAGTGCTCGTCTGCAATAGTAAAAATTTTGTGGAACTTCATCAGCAACAAATATCATTTTTATTAGGTTAAATATGTTTTGGACTGTGATTTAAGGTACATAAATATTCATTTTGGACTCGAAATTTGACTCAAAAAAATATATCGAAATATTTACCAAAATGTATTTTTGCTTCGGATGGTTGAAACAATTAATGTCAAAATTCTTAGTTAAATTACAAAAGAAATTCGTATTTCCATGTTAATAAAAATAAAATAATTTTAAATACTTATATTTCTTAACGTGTCTAATCCCTATTTTCGCCGAATATTTGACGAAAAAATTCTTTCGCAAACCGCATTAAAGAGTCTGTTTGGCTAGCATCGTAAAACGATTTGCAATATTTCCATCTGTTGGCCGTCGTTCGATCGAATCCCGAAAGACAGACGGACGCGGGTGGGTTAAATTTAAAATCGAGATCCGCGGCGTATTCCGCGTGGAAACGTACGCAGAAAGAGACTCGAGGCGTTCGCGGACACGTAGTCGACAACGGAGCCAAATCCATTCCAACTTTCGCAACTCAGGAACGCGCCGACGATTCGATAGGCAGTGCCAGGAACCAATCGTAGCACGCGGATACCGTGTGCACCGAAAACCGCGCGTCGCGCATTAGGAACCATTGTTACTCTTAGACGAACCACTTGTTGATCTTGAAGCGAATTCTAGGGTGCAACAGGCGGTTAGGCGCCTATTGTATTAGCAACTTTCTGAATAGCACGACCGGGACGAAGTAGAATGTTAATCCCGACGCGACAGCTTCCGTAGATTTCCATTGTCTCGACGCTCGACGTTTCCTGGACAAAATTTTATTTTCCAACTCCAACTTTGACGAGAAATTTTCCTTCGAAACGGTAACTCGTTTATATCCGTCCGTGAAAGACTCTAGACAGCAGAGTTGACGAGTAATTTTAATTAATAAAAATATGAAAGTATTGAAAATCCGTTTAAATTTATTTCTTTGCATCAATTGGTACTCTTTCGAATAATATTTAATACCTATACACTATCGGGGTTGAGAATCAAAGGCTCGCGTATTCGTGGAATATTTACGAACGTTCATCGAGAGGCTAAGACTACTTGCAATCGTTTGCAGCATTGAAAAAGGTTTATAAGAAATTCTGAGAAGCTGAGATTCTCAGAGAGCTGTATTTGCTTCGAGATCCATTGCGAAGCGCACCGGTTGCATTCGCGATCGTTTCCAAAGACAACAACGCGGCTTGTATTTACTTTGTACCTTCTTCGCAATTGTACGAATCTACGCGCGTGGAATTTCGGCGAAAAGTCGAGCCAAGAACGTTCAAAAAAAGAACCGGGACAAAGAACCGACCGATTCATTGAATTTTCCGTGCGTTCGTGCTCGGAAATTTTCCCGGTGACGAATGGTTTCGACTTCGATCGCCATTTTCTTCGTTAGCGTTCGGGGGTCGTTGAAATTTGGCGGGAAACGAGCACAAAGCGCCGGAATTTCTAAAATTTTCCACGGTGACGTGTCGGCGGATGCACGTGGCGTGTTATTATTTTCGCGCCAAGTAATCTAATGGCGTCGCGAGTGATTCAGCTGTTTCCTTTGTTCGCGCCGAAAATTCTGGGCGCCGTTTTACGACGCATCCGCGAGGTCCTCGACACGCGAAACGCGATATCGCTTTATTTACAGGATTCGCGGAATCCTGTGCGTCGGCCGACCAAAGTCCCTGAAACTTCGTAGAAATCGTGACGAAGAATAATCTTCAACAAAGAACACGACTTTTCGGAGGCGTTCGAATTACGCGAAAATTGAATTTTCTCGATTTTCACGCGTTTCGACTGTTAGTTTCACAATGATTTTTTAAATAAGTGTTTATATATATATATAACGCCATCAACGAGTTATATATTATTGTTAATAAATTGTGTAACTATCTGTTCGATAATTCCCATAGTGTTTTTAGACTGTGATTAATATAATTTACTAATTTGGTTGTATAACTGTATTATGACATCTATATATTAGTTGATATGAAGAGTAGAGATTTAAGGGGT